CTCAGCAACTTTAAAACACTCCTATTCAAAGGAACACTAAATGTGTACGGTCATACTCTGTGCATCAAACTGAACGTTTCTAGATTTGATCTGTTCGCTGAGCTTAATACAGAGCTGGCTATCAGCCTTGATATCACAGCATCTGGACCACAAGCACGGTTTTAGGAAAATCTGTTTGACTACATCTTTCTTAGAAAACACATTGGGCTTTCCATCCCCTTTTGATCAAGTGCTCACATAATGGGAAGTATAAAGCTAAAACCTCCTATTATTCAGAGGTTAAAAATCTTTCTATTGCTACTAAACCTAGCCAGTAATATCCAAAGACTAATTTCAGTTCATGATTTCCATTTCTCTAAAGCCTTAGCATCTGGGTTAAAAAGATTCCGGAACAAAGGGTATCAAATGTTCAAAACAAACAGAAGAACAAATAAACCTAAGGCTATTCAGGGAAAAGCAAAGCAAGAATGCAGTGTCTTCTCTGATTAGATTTTCTCTGCACACATTAACCCTACAAAAGGAGTTTGATCTTCAGGTCTAGGAACAATTATACTAAAAAAAAAAAAAAAAAAAAAAGAAAGAAAAAAGAAAAAGAAAAAATCCATATTGGCCAGCAGAGAAATTGTGTTTCCACCTTGTTACAGAATTTCAGCTGGCATCTGACTTTGCATAAATTGTACTGATAATGCACTTCAATCTTGCAGGAATATTCATTAATTAACCAGTAGAAACCGCCAGGTAGATTCCGGTTAAACACACAAGCTCTGAAAAAGCCCAGACCCGCAGGAGCCTCCAGCTCAAGGTCACTCACCAAGACCCCACATCTTTCCTGCAGTTTAGTTAAGGATAAAGGACATTTCCAAAGCAGGGCAGATACAGAGATAACCGGTTTCTAGTCCTCCAAGCAATCTAGATAAGAATTCAAGTGGTCTACTTTGAATTCCTTTGCATCTTTTATTACAGCCACTTGCAATTCCTTCCTAGAGGCAATATCACAGAATTGGGGAAATCGAAGTAATTTGAAAAGTGAAATGACAAATGTCCTGGCTGCCATATCAAAAGGTCCATCTTTGTAAAGCCCTTTGTCTCCAGAAGGTCCTTATGGACTCCACACATAAATTCACCTCACTACTATAACTGACCTAGAAAGAGAAATCATTGTTGAAAACTCCAAACTGTGACCTCTGAAAGCAGCACAATGTTGTGTGTCTTTACATGTGAATACACAGATTCACCTTCCTAACCAAATAACCAAGGGGCTCTTAATTCTTTCTCAGAAAGTATCATTGGCAGATTTCCTTTGATTGGTTATCAAAACTAAGATTGAACCTTTCTATGGCCACATGGAACTACAGTTGTTAAAGCTCCATTCTCCCATCAGAAAGGGGCTTCAAAAACTTTGTGGAAAGTGGAATTGATAGATCCTGGAGGGGTGAGCATTGTGCTCAGCAGTTACACTATCGCCATTCCATATCAGGGTGCCCGTTTGAATCCCTGCTACCTCTCTTCTGATCCAGGTTCCTGATAACGTGCACCCTAGGAGGCTGCGGGTGATGGCACAAATACTTGGGTCTCTGCCACTCATCCACCCACCCACCCACCCACCCACCCATATAGGAGAGACCTGGATGGAGATCCGGACTCCTGGCTTTGGTCTGTCCCATACCTGAGTGTTGCAGGCATTTAGGGAGTAAACCAGCAAGAGGAAGATTCTTTCTTAGCCCCACCATCTCTGTTGCTCTGTATTTCAAATGAATGAATAAATAAAATAGTGAAAAAATGAAGATACGATGAACAATAAACTAATTATAAAAACTAAAAAGAATGCAGGTTTCCATTAACTTTTTGAAGGTGTCTTATACCATAACCTATATCCCAGCTTAGAGTGGCAAGCAAGTGCAATCTTTAAACCATCTGACTTCAACTCACCCAGCTGCACTGCACCTCCTGGCAAAGTACCATAATTAGAGTGTCTCTATCAACACTTTTACCAATAATGGGAAGAGGCGACCTTCACATGTTTTCACTGCCTCAGAAAAAATGCCGTGGGAGGTTTTAGTTATAAAATAAATAATCACTACAGAAAATAAAGTCAAAGGTGAGAGAGCCCCAGTGTGCGACACAAAGCTAGGACTGGCAAAGAATGTTATTTGGTGAGTCCTAAGAACTTGGAGGTATTTGTGCAGCATGGATCTTCACGAATTCGATACTACTCAGCTTTAACACCTGTTCATGCATCAGATCGCCTCTCCAGAACAGTCCACATTTGAAAATGGGCTGCATTAAGGTTTTGCCTAACATCCTATCATAATTCTGGAGTATCTTTCAAAATCAATCTCAGTTGTAATCTTGGAATGTAATGGGAGAATCAATTTAGGAACACATCACAATAGCTGCATTAAACATTTCATTGTGCCTACACACAACCATAATTCCTCTTTGGGATTGTAACTCCCTATGTAAACTTTGAAGGTATAATGTGAGGAATGGCATGCTAGCATTATACTTTTACATGCCACTGAAAAACGAGGGAACAAATTAGAAAGAGTCCAACAGATTCCTTTTTGTTTTCAATTAGACAGTTTCTTGTGTTACCTTGTGCTTACATTATGGTTAAACAGTTCCCCGACAGCAAACTGGAGATTGTTGGAGGGAGAAAAAAGACCTAGATGACATGGGATTCCCTCTTGTTATGCACGACAAATACAAATTCCTAGTTTATTCCTTATGACTCAATAAAAACTTAAGGTGTTCTATCCAGTCCGAATAAATTCAGTGTTAAGGCTTTGATCCGCAACTACTCTGCTTCTTCGCAAAGTTCCTGCAGCTCTGGGAGAACACATCAAGGGCAGAAACGCCTCCCAAGAAGCCGCTAGCGGGGTGCCGGGGTTTGCAGAGACGTAGAGGGCGCTTCTGCCACCTGCTCTGCTCCCCAGATCTGCTGGCCCGGCCACCGACTGCTCGTCCCACACAAGCCTTGCACAACCAGGCTCCCTTTCCCTAGGTTTCAGCTGCGGTTCTCGGAACCAAGACATCTCACACTGAAAACGGAGTGCATCCAAGGGAATCGCAGGGAAAGCCACCGTGAGCGGCGTTTACAGGATAAATACCTTTTTTTTTTTATTATTATTCCTTTTAAACCAGCAGGTCTAATGCGCATTTCGGAAGGCAACCCCGCCAGCGGACAACTTCTGGGAAAAAAAGAGCCTGACCCGCACCGGGCGAGCGCCCCCTGGTGGCCGGACGAGCCACACGCGCAGAGCGCCACTCTTCCCCGCAGACTGGATAGACTCGGACAAGTGGCGAGCGGCCCGGCCAGAGGCCCGGCTGTCGCACCCCCGCGGCCCCAGGACGCCGCGTCGCGGGCAGACATAACCTCGTCCGACCTTCCCAGAGCAGTTGGGGGACGTAGGCGCCTGCCCTTGCCCATCTCTGGTTCCAAATCCCAGGGGAGGAAGGAAGGGAGCCCTAGAGAAACATGGAGAAGGCAGGAGAGCGCCAGGGACATTCTGCAGCAGGAACCCGGGGTCGCGTGGAGGAACGAAGCGCCATGGTGGACCCCCGTGTGGGGCAGAGCTGTGCAGGTGCTGCTCGGGACCTGCGACCTAGCAGGCAACTGCTTCCCCGCCTTTAAGTCCTCAGAATGCGCGGTTAGAGGTGTGCGTGCGCGCATTTCGATCCGCCACCGGGGCTCCCACGTGCAGGCACGTTTCTGAGCAAATGCACGTGCATATGTATAGGACTTTCTACTGAATGCCTTCAGCACGGGCCGTGGGGGCTTCCGGAGAAGGGTGGGAAGGGACAGATGACTGCTGACCGGGCCGCGGAGAGACCCGCGCCGGGAGCGCCCTCCCCCCACCCCCATCTCGGAAGCCCACCACAGCGCCCCGAGATCGCCGAGCTGACTTTGAAGAGCAAGGCTGCAGCCTCTCCCTCGGCTGCTGCGTCCGGCGACGCAGTCAGAGAGCTCTCCCTGCAGCCACCGTCTGTCTCCCTTAAAACACGAAAATTCTAATAAACTCCCAGTCGCCACAATCCAGCCTGAGCAGGAGGTACTTGAAACCCGAATCTGCATTCCGCTCCTCTCGTACAAGGCTCGGAGGTGGGGGAGGCGCGGCTGGGGCCGGTGCCTGGTGTATAATCGGGTTAATCCGGGAGACAAAGAATAAACCTAGCCCTCCCACCGCACTTCCCGCTCCCCTTCCCCCACCCCCACCGTGTAGAGGGGGAGCAGCCGAGGGGCAGCAGACTCGAAATGGATTCCGGATGAAGTCTTAAAAACCTGCAACTTGTTTTTCATTGCTAACGCGGCACGGCCCCGATCAGTCTCTCTGGCGGCGAGAGAAAGTTCCATAAATCAGTCCGAGCCTCCGGCTCATCCTCCTGGCCTCGGGGGGTGTCAGGGGTGGGGGTTGGGGGGGGCCTTAAGGTCAGTGTTTCCTTGAAGCTGGATAAACCGACCCCGTCGCGCGCAGCCGGGCTCCGCGGGCGCCCCGCGGGACGGCAGGAGCGGCCCGGGGACGCGCGGGGCGGCGCGGTTGCCCTTTTGAATGCCTCCTGCGGCTCGGCGCGCTGGCGGGCGCTGGAGTGTGAGTGAATGTAGCCCCGCGGAGCCAATGAGCTGGGACCGGATGCGATATATCCTCTGGGACAACAACTGCTCTGTTCCGCCTCGGATCCACATGACGCCATTTACTGCTGCCGCGGCCGCCGCAGAACTCCCTGCCTCCTCCGGAAAGGCGAGGGCGCAGGCCAACAGCGAGCCCCCCCGTCCGGGCCCCAGACCCCCCTCCTCCTCCGCCTCCTCCTCCGCCTCCCCCCCCTCCTCCTCCTCTTCCTCCTCCTCCTCGGCACCCACCGCCCCCGCCTCGGCCTCGCTGCCGAGCCTCCACAACGCCCAGTCTGCACCGCCCAGAGCTGCGCGCCGCAGCGCGAGCGGAGGAGAGGGCCGGCGGAGCGCGCAGCGCCCAGGCCCCCGCGCCCGCCCGGCCCGGCTCGCGGCCGCCCGCGCCTCCGTGCCACCGCTGCGCCGACGCGGCCGGGGCCGCACGCCTTGGCGATCTGGCTTCTAGGGTCTTTCTGTAAGGCCACTTTATTTTCTCATTCGCTCATCTGCCAAGAACGGGGACTCGCTGTTGGCGCTTCGGCCTCTTGTTCATTGAGAAAAAAAAAAAAAAAAGGAAATACTCCGCGTGCGCTTCTGCAAGGGGGCTCGCCTCCAGCCCTGAAACCCGGAGTTGTTCATCGGCGAGGGACTTGGCTCCAAATTTTTCGCTCGTATTTTCTGTTTTGTTTTGTTTCCTCCCGCCGATTGCTCGAAAGTTGGACTGAAGCAAAGTTTGGAAAAAAAGGGGGGAAAAAAAGTTTGCATCGGGGCTGGATTTATTTGCACATCGCAGAAAGAAGAGACTCCAAGGGAGAGGGGTTGGTGCAAAGCCGCGATCACGGTGAGGCGCGTTTCGCTCTTCCTCTGCTGGCGCCGTGGCTGGCGCGGTGTGGGCAACATGGAGTAGGTGCAGTTGGACCGGGAGTGGGGTCTGCCTCTCCCCGAGCCTCGCTTTCTCAAACCCCGCAGGTTGCCGGCGAGCTGCCGGCAGATTTCCCTGGCCGGGGACCTGGGCTCGGCCTGCCTGGGAGGGGGCTGCAGTGTGCGCCCCGAGCGATGTCCCCCAGCCGGCGACCCTGCGCTCCCGCGCGCTGTGGGCTTGGGTCGGAGGACGGCTCTCCCTGGTCTGTTCCAGCCCTGCGTCGACCGCGAATTCGGCGCTGAGAGCGGGAGACGGAGGGAAAGCACTTTGTGCTTCTCTGGCCGCCGTTGCGGGCGCTCGCATTTCTAACCTGTTCCTCCCCCTCCTTGCGAGGCAAAGTTTTCTGGGGGAGCCTGGGGCGGGGGCGCCGATGGGGCCGGGTGCGTGGGGTGCTCGCCCCACGCGGGCAGTAGGCCCCGCGGTGGAAAAGGGGCGAGGGTGCGTGGTGCAGGCAGCCCCCGCCGCTGCCCTCTGTGGACAGTCTGGCCCACTGAGGTGGGAGCGTCGCCCAGCCTGGCGCCGAGGCTCTGCGGTTCGGAAGTGCAGCTTTCTCCTTTTTCCGTTCCCCGTGATCGGCCTGGGTCACGCTTTTTTTGGGGGGGGGGGGTGGAGAGAGCTTGGGTTGACCTAGTACATTAGGAAAGTCATCGAGTGTGTGCGATCGTTTTGCATGACCTGAAAGTAGTGGCAGATGAGGCTCGTTTGTAAGTTCTCCGGTTTATGTTGTAGTCGCTGTCGTTTAATTTGGGATCTTGTGCACTTTTTTTTTTTTTACAAAGCGGTTTCTGTGTCGGTTTGCCCACCCTAAGTGCTGAAGTCCTTTCCCCCCTAATCCTCAGTCTGATCACACACTGTTCTTAATGGGGTTTTCAAAGCACTTCGAGAGGGAGGGGGGACCGGGGAGACGGGGAGAGAGCCGAGGGGGAAAGGGGGGGCTGCAAGGAGGAGGCCGGGGATCGGCAGAAATCACTTTTTTTTTTCCGCTTCCCAAAGATGCACTTTACACTGTATGCAAATCTACCTCTAAAGTTTCCAACCAGGGACTGGATCCTGCACGCCTGGCGTAGGCTCTGGGCCCTGGGGGAGGGGCGGGTTATTTTTTTTTTTTTTAATTAAACTTTAAGAAACGATCATTCCTGTTTCCCTTCCCCTCGACCCAGGAGACCGGCATGCGCGCTACAAGCCATGCCCGCTTCAGTCGGTGCGGCGTGCAGTGGCCGCGTGCGCGTGGGTCAGACTCCCCGGGCTCCATTGGAAACCTGAGCTCCCGTTCGCGGACCCCTGCAGACGCGTCGTGGGCTGCGTGACCTCTGCCTGCTGGTGCGCGGCTCCCTCTTGGGGCTGGCAGGCGGTTCTCGGGAGCTTGGGGAGGGGAGGCGGGGAAGTGTGCTCGTGCGTTTCATGACACGTCCCCTTCCGAGGCGCCCGCGCCCCCCGCCGGTCGGTGGCGTCTCGGCCCCGGCAGCGGCGGGGCTGGGGGCCCCCTGGCCCCTGGACAGCGTCAGTCAGCCTGGAGAAAAAGTCCCCCGGGCTCCGGCTGTGTCCCACCTGCCGGGGGACGGTGTCTGGGCGCAGATAGAGCGATAGGACCGAGGGGAAGCCGAGCGCCGCGTTGTCCTGTGTGCTTGTCCTGCTAGAGGTGAGGAGATCCGGTTTCCAGGCGCTGCCTGGTCGCGAGCTGGGAGGGATGTCACTGCCTCGCTCACCGCGGCGCTGCCTTTTGTAAAAAGCCGGAGGTTGGGGAAACATGCACTTTTGCCCGTTTTGACTTTTTAATGTTCGTGTAGTGTTGGGACACGGGGATGGTAGTTTTGAGACTTAAAAGGGGCTGCGAGCCACGGGTTTGCTGGACAGACTGCTGGGTTTGAGATGTGGCGCTTGGGTTTTTAAAACCCGTTTCCTGTACTAACGGTGGGTTTATGACTCTCGACTGTAACTTTCCGAGAGGAGAAAAGTTAAGATTTTGACCACATTTTATGCCTAAACGGGGAGAACAGCCTTTAGCTGCAGACCCTGAGGTGTTCCGGGCTATCAGGCTGTAAAATGAGCCCCAGGTTGCTGAGAACTTGAGAATAAGTCCCTGTCTTTCTTGTTCCTCGTTGTGTAACCTCTGCTGTGATCTGTTCCTGGCACCTAAAACAATCACGTTGAATTTGATTTGTTTTTAGTTCTGTAGCTTGCCCTTCTAGGTAGTAATAAAAATGGCACATTGTTGTTAAATTTGTGACTGTTCTTGGGACGTTTGCTTTTTTTGCATGTCATCTTCATCCTGCAGGACTGAAAAGGTCACAGAATTCTTGGGCTAAATCATACTGCACGTGTCTGATGTAAAACAGCTTGAAGTAAAAACCAAGAGGGAATTTTCTCTGCTGCATTTATTGATGTTTAAGGCAAAAAAAAAAAAATAGCCATGACAAATTTAAGCCTATTTCAGAATTTGAAAAGGCATTCAGCTTTTGCCAAATGTTGGTAGCAATGTTATAATCCAATGTTACTTTCTTGCAATTTTACATTGAACCTGAACCTTGCAAATTGTGTGTTTATTTGAATAAGGGATTGTTACTTAAGTGATTCAAACAAAGGTCAGCTTTGTGTCAGCGCATTTCACAGGATTACAGAATTGTCAGTACCCAGCCATAATTCTGCTTTTTGTTTTGTGCATTAGTCTTAGGCTGTTACAATACCTCCCCACCACAACTCCTTTCAAACCCTGTTTCTCTAGAACAGGTGAGAAGTTGGGGTGGAGAGTCTTCCAAGTGTAAACCATTGTCTTTCCTCTTGGCTTCTGCAGGAGTTCAGATGTGTTCTAAGCCTGCTGGAGTGACCACACTTTCAAGACCTGATGGAGGCCAGAGCTCAAAGTGGCAGCGGGTCCCAGCCCTTGCTGCAGGAGTCCCGTGACGGTGGCAGACAGCGTGGGGAACTGGACCCCAGAGACGCCCTCAGCCAGCAGGTACACGTGTTGTCCCTGGATCAGATCAGAGCCATCCGAAACACCAATGAGTACACAGAGGGGCCGACTGTGGTGCCAAGACCTGGGCTCAAGCCTGCTCCTCGCCCCTCCACTCAGCACAAACATGAGAGACTCCATGGTCTGCCTGAGCACCGCCAGCCTCCCAGGGCCCAGCACTCACAGGTCCATTCTTCTGCACGGGCCCCTCTGTCCAGGTCCATTAGCACCGTCAGCTCAGGTCGCGGAGCAGTACCAGGACGAGTACCAGCAGCAGCTCCTCTGAACACAGACTGTTAGGATCTTCCTTCTCCTCGGGGCTGGTTGCTGATGGCATAATCCGGGTGCAGCCCAAATCTGAGCTCAAGCCAGGTGAGCTTAAGCCACTGAGCAAGGAAGATTTGGGCCTGCACGCCTACAGGTGTGAGGACTGTGGCAAGTGCAAATGTAAGGAGTGCACCTACCCAAGGCCTCTGCCATCAGACTGGATCTGCGACAAGCAGTGCCTTTGCTCGGCCCAGAACGTGATTGACTATGGGACTTGTGTGTGCTGTGTGAAAGGTCTCTTCTATCACTGTTCTAATGATGATGAGGACAACTGTGCAGACAACCCTTGTTCTTGCAGCCAGTCTCACTGTTGTACGCGATGGTCAGCCATGGGTGTTATGTCTCTCTTTCTGCCTTGTTTATGGTGTTACCTTCCAGCCAAGGGTTGCCTTAAATTGTGCCAGGGGTGTTATGACCGGGTGAACAGGCCTGGATGCCGTTGTAAAAACTCAATACAGTTTGCTGCAAAGTTCCCACCGTCCCCCCCAGGAACTTTGAAAGCCAACATAGCACCCTTAATCAGGAATATTACAATAATAAGGATTGTGTCTCTCCCTACCCCTTTTCTTTTAACATACATATGCAACCAACTAAACAGTTACAATATTGGCACTGTTAATAGAGAGTTGGCATATTCTTTGCTGTTTGCAGTGAGAAGTGTTTTGTCCAATGTGCCATTTTAACTGATATGCTTGGTAGAACTCAGCTAATGGAGCTCAAAGAATGGGATACAAAACTGGGTGACCCACCATTGCATAAGCTAAAGCAACACAGACACTCCTAGGCAGAAGTTTTTGTTTGTGAATAGTACTTGCAAAATTTGTAAATTAGCAAATGACCTTTTTTCCATTGTCTTCTCCAGAGATAATGTGCTATATTTTTGTATATACAGTAATATTTGCAACTGTGAAAAACAAGTTGTGCCATACATGGCACAGTCACAAAATATTATACTAATATGTGTACATTCGGAAGAATGTGAATCAATCAGTATGTTTTTAGATTGTATTTTGCCTTACAGAAAGCCTTTATTGTAAGACTTTGATTTCCCTTTGGACTTCATGTATATTGTACAGTTACAGTAAAATTCAACCTTTATTTTCTAATTTTTTCAACATATGTTTAGTGTAAAGAATATTTATTTGAAGTTTTATTATTTTATAAAAAAGAATATTTATTTTAAGAGGCATCTTACAAATTTTGCCCCTTTTATGAGGATGTGATTGTTGCTGCAAATGAGGGGTTACAGATGCATATGTTCAATATAAAATAGAAAATATATTAACGTTTGAAATTAAACTGAGCTGTTTTGTCTTATTGTAATACCTTTTCTTTCTGCAAAGTGCAAGAATGAATGTTAAGGCTGGCATGTTAGTGAAATAGTTTCACTTATCTATCTATAGGGCTGTTTTTTGTCTTGGGATTGCTGCTTTAAAGTTTTTTTTCAATCGAAATAGAACTCAACGTTTGACTCGCTTGTATTAATCACATGAGAGCTTATTTTGGCTATATTTTCCCTCCTGGTACTCCCTTTGTTTTTCAGATTTTCTGACTTTTCTTTGTTTTGCAGATGGAAACCTTGAACTGATTTATTCATGAGCCTTTCCTAAAAGATTAACAATCAGACTTGCACCCCATAGACAGAAATAAGAATGAATGCTGTGGAGATAACTCAAACAGAGGAACATGTTTAATTCAATGAACATTTACTAAATGTTGCCCGTTTGTCAACATTTAGCATATAGAGAAATCAAGTCTTTTAATTGAGGCAAAAATGGGTTTCCTGACAACTATTTATGTCCCTGTTTTTTCTGATTGATTTGACTTTAGACTCTGCAAGTCATTACCATCACCTCAAATTTCCTATTAGAAAAGACAAGAAAAATTATAACTTGCTGCAATTCAGGTATTTGTTATCATGAACTTTCATCCTATACCAGTCTTGTAATTCAAGCCCAAGTAGGCCAACTTAGCCCTGACTGATGTAATCAAGTAACCTGGAAAACTGTTAGATTTTACGCTGAGTGGAAGATACATTATGGCAAAATATCACTGTATTTGGAATTGTTCTTTGAGAACACAGACACAGCAAGCTACTACAAGCCTATTTTGACAAATATTAGGTTTTATTTTTTTTTTTTTACTAAAGCTAATGACAAAAAAGAAATTTATTGATTACTGGGATATAAAAATCCACACATACTTCAAGTTTCAGATATGGCTTGTTGTTGTTTTTTTTTTTTTTTTTTTTTTTTTTTTTGACAGGCAGAGTGGACAGTGAGAGAGAGAGAGACAGAGAGAAAGGTCTTCCTTTGCCGTTGGTTCACCCTCCAATGGCCGCCGCGGCCAGCGCACCGTGCTGATCCGATGGCAGGAGCCAGGTGCTGATCCTGGTCTCCCATGGGGTGCAGGGCCCAAGCACTTGGGCCATCCTCCACTGCACTCCCTGGCCACAGCAGAGAGCTGGCCTGGAAGAGGGGCAACCGGGACAGAATCCGGCGCCCCGACCGGGACTAGAACCCGGTGTGCCGGCGCCGCAAGGCGGAGGATTAGCCTAGTGAGCCGTGGCGCCGGCTCAGATATGGCTTAAAGAAGTTGTTCCAATAGTATCTTCAAGTTTGATCACCTTCCAAATCTCAGTTGTCATTTTTGCTGTGTTGACTTTATTCTCATCTTCCACAAGAATCCAGTTCTGCTCAGCTTTAAAATCAATGAAAAAATAAACAGTATTTCTTCCTATTAAGTCTGGCCAAGCCCTGAGATGCTAAATGAGCCCTATTAGATCACCTTTTGATATCCAAACCAAAGACTGTGTCCTATGGGGAGGAATTTGCAGCCAAGCCTGTGTCACACATTTCATTCCCAAGCAGAAGATGGAATCCAAAAGGAAAGTGAGGTACTGTTACCAGTAAAAGGCTGTAAAAAATGCTGGAAGGCCAAAACGACCAATGTCCTTAAGTCACTTGATTAGTCACTTCGTGGCTGACTTTTTTCCAAAAGCAGAAATTCTGCCAAGAATAACCGGAAGTCTAGGAAATGATTTACCTGTCATTATTGTTAATCTCTTGTTTCCTGTTCTGAAGCTCCTCTTGGTTTAAGAGGTCTTAGAACAGGTTGTCTTCTGTTTTGTTTTGTGTTTTAAAATTGGCTTTCCAGGAACTATATCATCCCCCCAAATCAGATGTTTACTCTTTGGCTCTTCAGTTTCTCTGAACTTCGTCCAGAAACACAAGGTTAAATTAACTTAGAAATTGTTTACCACTAACTTTTTGCTTTGGAATACTGCATGTTTTGATTCTAATGCATACTCTTAAATTTCACCCTGGTGAATTAAAGTGTCAGAAAAATAGAGTCATACTTCTTATTTTATAGTTTTCAACATTTGTAAAGCCCCAAAATTTTGACAGATAACCTTTGTTCATCAAAAACTTCCACATGCACTGATATAGATTTTTGGAATAGAAATAGAATTAACTATCATCTTTCCCCTCATAAGCAGTTTTCAAAGTTTTATAGACAAATCACCTCAGATGCCATTGGGTGTTTATTGAAAAGGTAGAATAAGAACCATTGTCATGGTTGTTGATTTAGAATCTCTAATGATGTGGTGAGGGAATTTGCATTTTAACCGTTCCACTTGAGAGCTGCTGACCTAGAAAGTGCTTTCTTTTAAAATGCTTTACTTTTGGTAAAGTATAACTCACTGTTTTGAATATAGAGCATAATAAGATATAGTCAACTGAAGTTAGAAGAGGTTCGATATAAGCCCTGATGACAATAACTTGTTGAAAGATAATGAGGAAAAACTGAATTCCTCAAGAAGTTTTTAACCTATTAAAAGTTGAGTTTGTCCATAAACCACTATAGAATTCATTTTCAGAATATGGAAAATGAAATGCTTATATCTAAACTGATTGAAAACAGCTGGTGGTCTCATTCGGTATGCTAAAAGTGTTTTTTAAATACTGCAAGTTTTCTCACTTGAGAACAAATATGGAAGAAAATCACTTCAAATTTTAGTCGGTTAACAAAGCTTATGAAAATCACATAGATGATGAATTTGTAACCTGATGGCTATAATTTTGATGTGATAGATCAAAAATATAGTAGTAATGGCAAATGTGACTGGTAAATAGTCAGGGAAATTTTTAGAATTCTTTTTTTCAAGACCTATGCCTGCTCTGTATTTGAGATTCATTTAAGAATGACAACTTGATTGTTGTTACTTAAAACACTCATTTATGAGGTTGGAGGAGAGTTTAAGGCCCTGCCAAATTTCTGCCATGTTAGAGCATGCTCTGGGGATCATCTGAAAGAGAAAAAATCCGAAGCCCAGGGAAGCAATCCCAACCAAACTTTTTGCATAACTTCATTCTGTAATACACTCTGTCTCAAGGACTACAAGGTATTGATAATGTCAGATAAATGAATTACCTCTTCCCACTGCACTCTGCAGTACTTTCTATGCAGTTGATGGATTTGGAGTCATTTGTTTGCTTTTATTTTCAAAAATGTAATGGGTTTAGAGTTTTACTTGCAGCTCTATTCGCAAGTGGTGTACGCTTTCCTCTCCCAAATGTGCAAAAGGGTATGGGAGCAAAAGTCTCAACTTTGAAAATGGGTTAACCTCTGTAGGTCAAAAATAAGTTTGTCACCCTGTGGAGAATATTTACATTATTTTAGTAAATTAAAAAGTAAGTTATTAAGGATTCATGTCAATATTGTATCAATATTAGTCTTTGTTTGCAATCTATACTAAGGCAAAAGTCATTAAAATTTCTGTTTCGCTTTGAGCCATTGCTTCACTTCTCTGTGACATGCTTCACTCATTATTTATTGAGTGAAGACCAGACAGAATCTTCACCAGGCCCTTCTGATTTGGCCTAAAGCTTCATCAAGTGAAGCTTTACAGGTGACACATTTTGTTACCGGTTCGGCCATTCACAGGAGGGTAGTCAAAATGTGTATACTCTACATTCTGGATTTTGTTTGAATGCCACTTCCCCATGAAAGACCACCAATGATGTTGCATCTATCATCAGAATTAAAATATTCATTTAGCTTATAATCAGAAAAAAGGGAAATTAACTTCAAATGAAAAAAAGCATTAGCACTTAAACTTTTTTTAAGGATTTATTTCACTTACTTGAGAGATATTGAGACAGAGAGAGAGAGAGAGAGAGAGATCTTCCATCTGCTTCTGTAATCCCCAAATGGCCATGACAACTGGAGCTGGGCTGATCTGGAGCCAGGAGCCTCTTCTGGGTCTCCCACATGGGTGCAGGGGCCCATGGACTTAGGCCATCCTCCACTGCTTTCCCAGACACATTAGCAGGGAGCTAGGTTGCAAGTGGAGCAGCCAGAACTGGAACTGGAACCGGCACCCATATGAGATACCAGTGCTGCAGGCCAGAGCTTTAACCTGGTGTGCCACAGCACCGGCCCCTAGCACTTAAACTTCTATCCCGTGCCTAGCAAGTGTTCCACATTTTTAATTCTACATCTTAATTGATGTAAAAATTGTAAAAACACTTTTGGCAACTTTACACAAACTTTGAAAGGAGATTAGAATGAAGTCTTGGCCTCTGGCTTGGCTAGATGGGGCATGTAAAGCTTCAGTATACCCTAAAGTAGTTTATTTCTCAATACAGTTGCTAATATACAGAAGAATCAATAATTCTTGGATCCACTTCTAATGGAATTTGAGTACCACAATAATTTGGCTTGTCGAGTGTTTTTGAGTGTCCACAGCTTAGAAATCATAGTGTTATTTGCTCCAAAGCAAAAGGAAGGGTTAACAATTCTCACAAAAGACAGGGCATACAGTAAGAGCACAAGCAAGGTGCTGTAAAAATACATGAATTGGGAGAAGCTTTGATGATAGTGGGTTTAGTCTCCATGCCTTTGCATGGTTGCAGATATTTAAACAACCAGAATTTTTGTAAGGCAGTTGCAACAGAATTTGCATCACTCATTACATAAACTCTTCACCATGCTCATATCCTGTATCCTAGTGAAATGTAGAGGTGTATGATGAATATTTGGACAAGCTTTCTGCTATGTTGTTTATGCTTAACTTTGAGATGTATGAATCACTAAAACCTTTCTTTACCAAAATACAAATTTAAAAAATACATTTTCAAAATATATAACTAAGAATTAAGTTGAAAAGATTCGTCTATTCTTGCTCTTCCAGTTCTTGCTGGAATGTACCTCTTGTCATTAACCCATAATTTTCTCTCACTTCTGTACTTAGAAAATGATGAATACCTATAATGAATTGGCAGGGCCGGCACTGT